GGCTGGGCAGGCGCTGCGAGGACGCGGGCACCGGGGCAGGGGCGCAGGCAGGGGGCAGGGGGCGGCTCCTCTGCGCTGCGGTAGTGACCCTGGTCCCCACGCCCCCCAGCCTGGCCACTCCCGTCGCGCTCCCTCTGTCCTCGCTTCCTTGCTGTGCCTGGTCCCCTCTCAAGGTGGAAGATGCCAGCTCAGGGACTCGGGCTTGGAGTCCTCCTTCAACTAAGAACAAGTCCCTCGCTGATAAGGTTAGGACACAGAGGCAGGGACTTGGGGACTTGTCCAAGGTCACCCAGCAAGTAAGGGGTGGAGACGCGGCCGCTCAACCCCAGCCTTGCTGGGTCCGCCCAGCACTCTGGAGGAAGCCCTCCCTACTTTGGAAAAGCAGGACTTGACCGACCAGGCCTGGGCTGGGGAGCTGGTGCCCTCTCCTGCCTGCACGTCCCAAAGTCCCAAGGCACCTTTCGCTTCCCATCCCCAACCGACGGTCCATCCGAAAAGGGTGAAGAGGGGCGGGGGCTAGGCCCCTGGGTGCCACTCTCTGGGGAGCTCACCCCCTTGCCTTTCTTGCTCCCCTGCCCGGGTCCTGCTTTCTTTCTCAAGGCCTGGGGGAGGGGGCGGGCGCCGGGCAGCTTCTGGGCAGGACTGACTTAGACTCTGGCTGAGAGGCTGGAGTGAGGCTGAGCTGGAACCACCGTGAGCCTTGGGCAGGGCGCCCAAGGAAGGGGTGCGCCCCAGGCCCGGCTCCCCATCAGCTGAAAGGAGAGGTGAAGGACACGAGGCTCCTCCGCTCCCTTTTTGCCGTCAAGGGCACAGAGCTCTGGGAGGAGGCCTCCTGGTGACCCCCTCCTAAGACACTTACCGCCTCACCTGCTGTTTCAGGAATTGCCTGCAGTGTTTCCTTCTTAATGACTTGCTCCGCCTCTGGTTTCTGAGCTGCTGGGGTTGGAAATGAATGAAATGAAATGTATCCCCACTCTAGTTTCTCAATACCCAACTTCTCCCCATCCCCGTACTAAAAATAGCCCGAGGTGACCTGAGGCTCCCAGGCAGGCTGCAGGGGCTGAGCTCGGGGAGTGTGTCAGACCTCCGCCTTGCGTACCTGGCCCTCACCATCACCTGAGCTGGGCTGCAAGGGGACACCAGCCATTCACAGGTCTAGTTTCTTGGTGGCCCTTGGGCACAACTCAGGACTGAGATTGGGTGTGACCCCTGCACAGCCTGTCACCGAAACTTGGTGATATCCACCAAATGGCTCGTGGGTGGCAGCTCACGCAGAGCTGAAAGCCTGGCGTTTTCTAGGGCAGTCTGCGCCAGGCAAGGCGGGAAGATCGCGGGGGCTTGCGGCTCGTGGCTCCCTATCCTCCCAGCTCTGGGCTAATAGGCTGTTGGATCCCAGCTATTAATGGTATGACAGTGGGTGCTTCATCTCCGAGCATCAGGGAGCAGCAGCGAGAGGCTGCACCAGCCACCCCAGCTCGCCTTAAGGGGGGAGATCTTATTTCCCAGTTACTGCCCACTGAGAGTCTACCAGCCTGGCCTTCCTGCCTCCCTCCCCTTTCAGCTTCGGCCTGTGGTTGCCCCTCCCTCTACCTAACGAATCCATTTGGTCATATGCCAAAACTCCAATATGCCGTGAATTTAAAAATCCCTTGAATTTAAAAAAATTTAAAGAGATGTCTGAGCCTGTCTGACTCCCTTCCAGCCCTGGAGACCCTGACTGGAGACTGTCTTTGTTCTCGGGGACCCCTTCCCTCCCTGCGGTCAGAACATGTCTTTAGATCGTTTCTTTATGCTTCCCCCGGGGGCTGATCATGGACAGTCTTCCCTGGCGCCCTCCTATGGTCTCACGCTCTCTCCCCCCTCCCT